TGGATTCTTTTTTATTGATTGATTGATGAAAGTGAGATAGAGATAGATAGACACACAGAGAGATATCTGTTGTTTCTCTTATTTATTCATGCATTGCTTGCTTCTTTTATGTGCCCTGACCAGAATCGGACAGGTGAGCTTGGTGTATTAAGACAACACTAACCAACTGAGCCACCCAGCTGGGGTGTTGAATTCTTTCTGTTACACCAGGATGTCTCTCAGGGAAGATTGAAAAGGAAGGGCTGGGCCCTAGCTGGTGTTGCTCAATGGATAGAGTGTCGACCTGCAAACTGAAAGATCCCAGGTTTGATTCCAGTCAAGGGCACATGCCTGGGTTGTGGGCTCGATCCCCAGTGGGGGGCTTGTGGGAGGCAGCCAGTCCATGATTCTCTCTTATCATGGATGTTTCTCTCTCTCTCTCTCTCTCTCTCTCTCTCTCTCTCTCCCTCCCTCTCTCTCTCTCCCTTCCTTCCTCTCTGAAATCAATAAAGATATATTTTATATTTTAAAAAAAGAAAAGAAAAGTAAGGGCTGAGTTGGGAGCTGAAAACCTGGGTTGAAGTTTTTAGCCGAGTGACTTTGGCCAAGGCGAGCTCACAGCTTTCTGTCTGTGCTGGTGCCGTTCCTTCTTCCTGGGCTGCCCATCCCTCTGCTCATTCTCTGACTTTCCAATTTCTACAAATCCTCCAAGAGTCAGTTAAAATGTCAGATTCTATGTGAGGTTTTCCCAGTCCTTTCTTCTCAAAGTAAATACTCCTTCCTCTGGCCTCTACCCTGCCTTGTTGGTTGCATGATGACCTTCTCCGTTAGAAAGAATTAGATTAACATGCAGCCCTGAACTCGCTTGGAAGTCAGGCCAAAGCGTAGCGACACTGTACAGATTCAAACCTGTGCGATGTTGTCTCCACAGAGAGGCAGCCAAGTCTAGAAAAGTGACCACTGGTTTCACAGTCAGACAGGCCCAGGTGTGTCGGCTGGATTGGCCCCTATCTGTGTGGCTTCAGTCAAGTTTCTTCACCTCTCTGAGCTTTCATTCCTCTTCTGAATAAAATGTAGAAAACAAGAGTTCAATCACAGATGGTTACAACCCGGATTAATGAAATAATGTACAGATCAGAGCCCTGGCTGGTGTCGCTAAGTGGTTAGAGCATGGGACCACACACGGAAGGGTCTCAGGTTCAATTCTCCCTCAAGGGCATACACCTGGGTTTCAGGTTTGATCTCAGGTCCTGATTGGGGCACCTGCAGGAGGCAACTAATTGATGTGTCTATCTCACCTCTCTCTCTCTCTCTCTCTCTCTCTCTCTCTCTCTCTCTCCCTCCCTCCCTGCCACCTTCCCTCCCTCCCTTCTACTCTCTCTAAGAAAAAAAATCAAAGGAAAAATATTCTGGGGGAAAATTAACACCAACAAAAACAAAAGAAATAATGTACGTATCATAAAGATAGGTGTGAATGGCATACTACTTAATAAAAATAGCTAATTTTTATTGCTTATCATGGGATGGAAACTTGGCACATGGCAACACCATAGGAATAAAATAATCTCTAGTTTTTACATAAGGAAACTGAAGTTCTAGGAGGACATGTAACTTATCCCAAGTTATCACAGCTGTTCAGGGAAATATCCTGTGTTCAGAACCAGGGCTCCCTGACTCCTATCCAGTAGCAGACCTGGGTGGGCCTGGAGAGCAGTATGCTAAGTGAAGTCAGTCAGTCAGAGAAAGACAAATACCATGTGATTTCACTCACCTGTGGAATCTGATGAACAAAATGAGCTAACACGCAAAATAAAGCCATACTCATAGACAGAGAGCAGGCTGACAGCTGTTGGAGGAAGGGATGGGGGTGTGGAGGGCTTGAGCAAAAAAGAAAAAAGAGAGAGAAAGAATTCAGAGACACAGACAACAGTGTGGTGATTGCTGGGGGAATGGGAGGTGGGGTGAGGTGGAGGAGGGTATAGGTGGGGTAAATGGTGATGGATGGAGACTTGACCTGGGGTGCTGAACACACAATACAGTGCACCCGAAATTTGTATAATTCTGTTAATCAGTGTCACCCCAATAAATTCAATTAATACTATATATGCATGAAAAACAGTGGGGATTATTACAGAATTTGCCATGAAGATAGTTACATCCATCTTTTTTTTTCTCTCAGAAAAGGCTATTGAGGGTCAGACAAGTGAAGTAACATGAATATGTTTAGCTACTAAGAAAGCATCAGATAAGTGAAATAAGTCAGTCAGAGAAAGACAAATACCACAGGATCTCACTTATATGTGGAATATGATGAACAAAATAAACTGAGGAACAAAATAAGTCCAGAGGTATGGGTGCTTGGAACAGAATAACAGATACCAGAGGGAGTGGGGGGGGGCGGGAAGAGATTAACCAAAGAAAATATATGCATACATGCATAGCCCATGGGCATAGACAATAGTATGGGAAGGCTTGGGGTGGGGCAGGGGTTGGGGAGAAAATGGGAGACATTTGTAATACTGTCCTCAATAAGAAAGCATCATATAGAAACACAATCCCTCCCATACCTTGTCCATCTCGACGCCCCCTCTGTGCCTAGCTCAGTGCTCAGTACATTGTTCATGCTCGAGAAATGTCTATGGGACAAAACAAAAACCCTAAACAGTGGCTGTGCGCCCTGACCCTCGCTGAAGAATTCCAATGTGGCCTTTGGAATTAAACGGATTGCTTCTGACTCCAGAGAAGCCATAACCACCTCTCTGGCACCGAAGCTGACTGACTGGCTGTGAGACTTCACAGTGCGGTCGAGGCTGGCCCAGGGGCAGAGAGAGGATTTAGGAACAGAAGCAGGACCAGAGAGGAAGTGGGTCGCGGAAGAGCAAAGTCCGATGAGGGGAGGGAAGCGCCCAGGGAAGAGGGCAGTGGGGGAGTTGTTCCTGGGAGCCCAGGGGAGCTCAGGCAGCAGGCGCGTTCAGCACCGCGGACAGCGGTCTCCGACTGGGCGGGCCCTCGGCCCTCAGTGAGGGGCTCGTTTCAGCACCGCGGACAGCGCCAAAACGTCATTGGACTGAAGGGGACAGAGTTGAACATGGTCAGCGACTTTAGCCATTTAGGGAGAGACAAACATCGCAGGATCTCACTTATATGTGGAATTTCATGAACACGATAAACCTATGAATAAAATAGGTGCAGACAGATGATGCATAGAACAGACGGACAGATCTCAGAGGGGATGGGGGTGGAGGGGATGGGAAAAGACTAACCAAAGAACTTAAATGCATACTAGAGGCTCGGTGCACAAATTCGTGCATGGGTGGGGACCCTCTGCCTGACAGTTGATCGGGGCCGATCGGGGCTAAGGGAGGTTGGCTGTGGGGAGGGGCCACAGGAGGTTGGCTGTGGGAGTGCATAGACCACCACGGGGCAGCTCCTGAGTTGAGTGTCTGCCTCCAGGTGGTCAGTGCATGTCATAGTGACCGGTCGTTCGGTCACTTAGGTTTTTATATATAGATAGATAGGCATAGCCCATGGACATAGACAATAGTGTGGGGAAGGCCTGCGTTGTCCGGGGTTTAAGTGGAGGGGGTCAAATGAGGGGAAAATGTGGGACATCTGTAATACTGTGAACAATACTTTTTTAAAAAAATGCTATTAACCTTGGGGCTTCACTTAATCTTTTCTCACGCAGACCAAAGGCATGATTCCTAAACAACGCAGTCTCATACTTTTAGCCTCTGGAAATCTTGGTGGTTTTGTTTTTAATAAAAAAGAAAGTGGTGGCTATATTGCAGGGTATTGAAAATGTATAAAATGTTTTATTAAAAGGGCCCACCCGGGACATAGATATATGCAATAAATTTTGTCTCCATCTTTATAATGAAAATTGGGGGTGGGGGGTGGGATATAGTCCTTTGTAGAAGAAATCAGGAATGAAATTTCCTTTTTCTAGAAAATCACCATAGCTCACTTTCTTTGCTAATAGATGTGGCAAATTTCAGTAAATGACATCAAGTCAGTGGGGAAATCCTGGAATAGGGAAATAAGGATTTTTCTCTACTTCAACATACACAGGAGAACCACCAAAGTTCAGTGTAGAATTGTGTTTTTGTTGATGGTTGTTTCTTTTTTAGAGAGAGAGAAAGGATGGGAGAGAGAGAGAGAAATATCTATCTGTTGCCTCCTGTCCTTGCCCCAACCAAGAATCAAGCCTGCAACCTAGGTATGTG